TAATCCACCTGGTCTGTGTCCATTTCCCTAACATTCACTGTTTTAGCCGCATCTACTTATTCTTCACTCACTTCATCCAGTTCCACTGAAGACAGTGAATTCTGACTGTTCTATTTCTCTTATTCCAAACATAGTCTCCAACAACTAAATGCTTCCTATGTCTTCTAGGGTAGCTATGCCCAAGCATTTAAAAACAGAAACATGAATTGTTAATACAAATGTCTTTTTTTAATTGATTCTTTACACAGACTTAGGGCTTTAGAATTTTAAAAATTATATGGATATTTGATAATACCAGTAAATTAAGAGTGCACTGCAAAACAGATTATAAACAGTGCACATTACATAAAAATTAACTCAAAATCGATCAGCCTAAATATAAAAGCTAAAACTATAAAACTCTTTTTTTCTTTTCTTTTTTGTTTTTTTTGAGACGGAGTCTCACTCTGTCGCCCAGGCTGGAGTGCAGTGGTGCGATCTCGGCCCACTGCAAGCTCTGCCTCCTGGGTTCACGCCATTCTCCTGCCTCAGCCTCCCGAGTAGCTGGGACTACAGGCACCTGCCACCATGCCTGGCTAATTTTTTCTACTTTTTTTTTTAGTAGAGATGGGGTTTCACTGTGTTAGCCAGGATGGTCTCGATCTCCTGACCTCATGATCTGCCTGCCTTGGCCTCCCAAAGTGCTGGGATTACAGGCATAAGCCACCACGTCTGGCCCTTTTTTTCTTTCTTAAGAGACAGGGTCTCACTCTTTTGTCCAGCCTAGACTGCAAGGTGCAATCACGGCTCAACACAGCCTCAATCTCATGGGCTCAAGTGATCCTCCCACCTCAGCCTCCTGAGTAGCTGGGACCACAGGTGCACACCATCACACCTAATGTTGTTTTTTTTTTTTTTGAGACAGAGTCTCACTCTGTCTCAGGTTGGAGTACAGTAGCATGATCTCAGCTCACTGCAACCTCCACCTCCTGGGCTCAAGCGATTCTCTTGCCTCAGCCTCCTAAGTGGCACACACCACCATGCCCAGCTAATTTTTGTATTTTTAGTAGACAGGGTTTCACCATGTTGGCCAGGTTGGTCCCAAACTCCTAACTTCAAGTGATCTGCATGCTTCAGCCTCCCAAAGTGCTGGGATTACAGACATGAGCCACCACACCCAGCCTAAATTTTTTTTTTTTTTGGTAGAGATGAGGTCTCACTCTATGGGCCAGGCTGGTCTTGAACTCCTGGGCTCAAGCAATCCTCCCACCTCAGCCTTCCAAAGTGCTGAGATTACAGTTGTGAGCCACCACGCCTGGCTTAACACTTTTTTTTTTTTTTTTCTGAGAGAGAGTCTCGCTGTGTTGCCCAGACTGAAGTGCAGTGGAGTGATCTCAGTTCACTGCAACCTCCTCCTCCCAGGTTCAAGCGATTCTCCTGACTCAGCCTCCCGAGTAGCTGGGATTACAGGCATGCACCACCACGCCCAGCTAATTTTTGTATTTTCAGTAGAGATGGGGTTTCTGCATGCTGGTGAGGCTAGTCTTGAACTCCTGACCCAAGGTGATCAGCCTGCCTTGGCCTCCCAAAGTGCTGCAATTATAGGCACGAGCCACCGTACCCAGCCTGGCCTAACGCTCTTGGACGGGAGCAGTGGCTCATGCCTATAATCCCAGCACTTTGGGTGGCTGAGACAGGTGGATCACTTGAGCTCAGGAATTCGAGACCAGCCTGGGTAACACAGTGAAACCCCATCTCTACTAAAAATACAAAAACTAGCCAGACATGGTGGCATGCACCTGTCGTCCCAGCTACTTGGAAGGCTGAGGCAGGAAGACCACTTGAGCCCAGAAGGCAGAGGTTGCAGTAAGCTGAGATCATGCCGCTGCATTCCAGCCTGGGCAACAGAGTAAATATCTGTCTCAAAAAAAAAAAAAAAAAGAAAAAAGAAAAAAAATTAAATTTAAATTAAAAAAACCACAAAACAACTTTGTAGTTCAAAGAATATCACCAAGAAAGTTAAAGGCAACCCACAGAATGGGAGAAAATATTTGCAAATCACATATAGGATAAGGGACTAGTATTCAGAATATAAGTGTCACAATTCGGCCGGGCGCGGTGGCTCAAGCCTGTAATCCCAGCACTTTGGGAGGCCGAGACGGGCGGATCACGAGGTCAGGAGATCGAGACCATCCTGACTAACGCGGTAAAACCCCGTCTCTACTAAAAAAACACAAAAAACTAGCTGGGCGAGGTGGCGGGCGCCTGTAGTCCCAGCTACTCGGGAGGCTGAGGCAGGAGAATGGCGTGAACCCGGGAGGCGGAGCTTGCAGTGAGCCGAGATCCGGCCACTGCACTCCAGCCTGGGCGACAGAGCGAGACTCCGTCTAAAAAAAAAAAAAACTCAGCCAGGCAAGGTGACGGGAACTGCAGTGGCAGATCCTACATTCCTGCACTCCAGCTAGCTCAAATCTCAAAAAAAAAAAAAAAAAATAAATGTCCACAATTAGATAATTTAAAAAAACTTAGGCAGGCACGTGGCTCCCGCCTGTAATCCTAGCACTTTGGGAGGCCGAGGCGGGAAAAAAAAAAAAAAAAAAAAAAAAAAAAAAATAAGTGTCACAATTCGATAATTTAAAAAAACTTAGGCCAGGCACGGTGGCTCCCGCCTATAATCCTAGCACTTTGGGAGGCCGAGGCGGGCGGATCACGAGGTCAGATCAAGACCATCCTGGCTAACACGGTGAAACCTATCTCTACTAAAAATACAAAAAATTAGCCAGGCATGGTGGCATGCGCCTGTAGTCCTAGCTACTCAGGAGGGTGAGGCAGGAGAATCGCTTGAACCCGAGAGGAGGAGGTTTCAGTGAGCCGAGATCGTGCCATGGCTCTCCGGCCTGGGCAACAGAGGGAGACTCTGTCTCAAAAAACAAAAACAAAAAAACCACAAAACTCATTTAATAAATGGACAAAAGGTCTGAATAGACAATATTCAATAAAAAAAAATGCTCAATATCATTAACCATCAGAGAAATTAAAATCTTTTTTTTTTTTTTTTTTTTTTTTTTTTTTTGAGACAGGGCCTTGCCCTGTCTCCTAGGCTGGAGTGCAGTGGCACGATCTCGGCTCACTGCAACCTCCACCTCCAGGGCTCAAGCGAGCCTCCTGTCACAGCCTCCTGAGTAGCTAGGACTACAGGCATGTGCCACCACACTTGGCTAATTTTTGTATTTTTTGATAGAGATGGGGTTTTACCATGTTGCCCAGGCTGATCTTGAACTCCTGGGCTCAAGCCAGTCCCCTGCCTTGGCCTCCCAAAGTGCTGGGATTACAGGCATGAGCCACTACATCTGGCCAAAATTTAAATCTAAACCACAATAAGATACAACTTCATACCCAGTAAGATAGCTGTAATCAGTTCTACTCCTAGGTAGCTATCCCAAAAGAAATTAAAACATGTATTCTTGGCTGGGTGCAGTGGCTCATGCTTGTAATCCCAGAACTTCGGGAGGCCAAGGTAGGCAGATTGCTTGAGCCCAGGAGTTCGAGACGAGCCTGGGCAACATGGCGAACCCTCTTCCATACAAAAAATACAAAAATTAGCCAGGCATGGTGATGCACACCTGTAGTCCCAGCTACTCAGGAGGCTGAGGTGGGAGGATCGCTTGAGCCAGAAGCAAAGGCTGCAGCGAGCTGTGGTCATGCCACTGCACTCTAGCCTGTGTGACAAAGTGAGACTCCATGTCACAAAAAAAAAAAAGTGGAAACAATTAAATGTCCATCAACAGATGAATGGATAAGCAAAATATGTTCTGTCTACACAATGGAATATTCTTTTTTTTTTTTTGAGACAAAGTCTCACTCTCTCACGTAGGCTGGAGTGCAGCGTGAGCTACCACGCCTGGCAACAATGGAGTATTCTTCACATGCTGGCCAGGCATGGTGGCTCACTCCTGCAATCCCAGAAGTTTGGGAAGCCGAGGTGGGTGGATCATTTGAGGTCAGGAGTTCAAGACCAGCCTGACCAACATGGTGAAACTCTGTCTCTATTAAAAAAATACAAAAAAATTAGCCAGGCATAGGTTGGACAAGGTGGCTCACACCTGTAATTCCAGCTCTTTGGGAGGCCGAGAGGGGTGGATCACCTGAGGTTGGGAGTTCGAGACCAGCCTGACCAACATGGAGAAACCCCATCTCTACTAAAAATACAAAATTAGCCGGGTATGGTGGCACATGCTTATAATCCCAGCTACTCAGGAGGCTGAGGCAGGAGAATCACTTGAACCAGGAGGCGGAGGTTGCAATGAGCCAAGATTGTGCCATTGGACTCTAGCCTGGGCAACAAGAACAAACTTCCATCTCAAAAAAAAAAAAAAATTAGCCAGGTGTGGTGGCCCTCGCCTGTAATCCCAGCTACTGGGGAGGCTGAGGCAGGAGAATTGCTTGAACCTGGGAAGCAGAGTTTGCAGTGAGCCCGGATAGCTCTACTGCACTCCAGCCCGAGTGACAGAGCAAGACTCCATCTCAAAAAAAAGAAGATCCATGCTACAACATGAAACATTTTCCTAAGAGTAAGAAGTCACATACAAAAGACCACATATTGTAGGCTATTTACATGAAATGTCCGTAATAGGCAAATCTATCAGACAGAAAGTAGATTAGTGATTAGCTAGGGCTGGAAGGGATGGCAAAGATGGGGGAGTAACTGCTAATGGTATGGGTTTTCTTTTTCAGGGGTGATGAAAACACTCGAAGACTGGCTGTGGCAATGGATATACAAGTTAGTTAATATAATAAAAAAAACACTGAACTATACACTTAAAAGTGTAAATTGTACGCTATATGATTTATATTTCAATAAAGCTGTTTAAAAGAGTAACTGTGTCAAGTCTGTAAGGGTCAGAATCCCTGGTCTAGACCCCATCTGCCATATTTCCAGTATTTTAGGACTTTATGAGGGAAATAACAGTCCTTGCAGGGCTGTGCTGAGTTCATGTAGACTTCCATTCCCTGGCACTCACCTCTGAAAGGCAGAGGGATCCACTCAGGCCAGGTGCGTGGATACTTGACATCGATGGCTGCTGGACATTAGCCATTTATGCCCATCCACACGGCTCCAGCCATCTCTGTGGAACACCCATAATAATGTTTACTTTACTTGTTCACAACTTTTTAACAAAAATAAATCATTTACCAACTTTACTCCCATCCTGATAAAGTCAGTCATATGATTGCAAGTGCGATAAAGAGTCTGATTCCATTTTGGATGGTTGCTGACAGCTTTCAAGCCCCCACCCCTTTCTCTTTCTCCCTCTCATCTGGGCATGCTAACAAGAAAGTATGAATGTTTCCTCCTTGGTGCCAGCAGGAAGTTCAAACTACGCAAGCCCCAACCCCAACGCCAATATCTAATCACAAAGAAAGCCCAGCCAAGGCCAGGTGCACTGGCTTACACCTGTAATCCCAGCACTTTGGGAGGTCAAGGCAGGGGAATCGCTTGAGCCTAGGAGTTCAAGGCCAGCTTGGACAATGTAGTGAAACACCTTTAGCCAGGCGTGATGGTGCATACCTGAAGTCCCAGCTACTTGGGAGTCCAGGAGCTCAAGGCTGCAGTGAGCTGTGATTGTGCCACTGCACTCCAGCCTGGGTGAGACAGCAAGACCTTGTCTCAAAAAAGAGAAAACAAAAACTAACAAAAATTATATAGTATTGGCCGGGCGCAGTGGCTCACGCCTGTAATCCCAGCACTCTGGGAGGCCGAGGCGGGTGAATCACGAGATCGGGAGATCGAGACCGTCCTGGCTAACATGGCGAAACCCTGTCTCTACTGAAAACTTCAAAAAATTAGCCGGGTGCGGTAGTGGGCAGGCGCCTGTAGTCCCAGCTACTCGGGAGGCTGAGGCAGGAGAATGGCGTGAACCTGGGCATTGGAGCTTGCAGTGAGGTGAGATCATGCCACTGCACTCCAGCCTGAGTGACAGAGCGAGACTCTGTCTCAAAAAACAAACAAACAAACAAAAATTATGTAGTATCAACTTGAAAAAGTTTACTCAAGACCTCAAAGGGCATTTGAGTAAGTGAGGAGCTAGACCAGGTACACAGATGAAAGGGCCAGGTACTGAAACCAGGACAACTCTCACTAGACCCGTAAAAGCAATGCCTTCCAAGCAAATCTCTGGAATAATTTTACTGAAGCATGACAAAATTCACATTGAAGAAGACAGCTCCTGAATATCCATGACAACTCCTTAAAAAACAAAAGGAAGAGAAGAAGAAGAGCTGGGAGTAGTTGTTTTGCCAAAAGTCAAGGATTCTCCTTAAAGTTCCAGTAGGCAAGCAACCCAGTGAAGGTACAGGAAGGACCGAGCCCCAAACAGACTTGGAGGCATATAATAGTTTAGAAGGTGGGAAAGGTGGCCTCACACATTAGCACAAGTAAGTATATCTCTTGCTGTCTTTTCAGATGGAAAAATAATTACAATTCCAAATTCACTCACACTCGCCCACATGCTTATAAGACCTACATAGTATGTGAGAAAAAAATTGTTTTGAATGATTAGAAATATAGAACTAGGCTAGGCGCAGTGGCTCACGCTTATAATCCCAGGACTTTGGGACGCTGAGGCAGGTGGATCACCTGAGGTCAGGAGTTCGAGATCAGCCTGGCCAACACAGTGAAACCCTGTCTCTACTAAAAATACAAAAATTAGCTGGGCATGGGGGCAGGCGCCTGTAATCTCAGCTACTCGGGAGGCTGAGGCAGGAGAATTGCTGGAACCTGGGAGGTGGAGCTTGCAGTGAGCCGAGATTGCGCCACTGTACTCCAACCCCGGGCAACAACAGCGAGACTCCGTCTCAAAAAAAAAAAAAAAAAAAGAAAAAGAAAAAGAAATATAGAACTACAAGAATATCTTTGAGTTATCAGGGTAGAAAAATGCTGTTGTTATTGTTTTGTTTGTTTTTTTTCAGATGGAGTCTCACTGTGGCCCAGGCTGGAGTGCAGTGGCGTGATGATGACTTACTGCAACCTCCGCCTCCTGGGTTCAAGAGATTCTCTTGCCTCAGCCTCCTGAGTAGCCAGGACTACACGTACCTGCCACCACGTGCAACTAATTTTATATCTATATCTATCTATCTATCTATCTATTTTTTTTGAGAGAGTCTCGCTCTGTAGCTGGGCCGGAGTGCAATGGCGTGATCTCTGCTCACTGCGACCTCCGCCTCCTGGGTTCAAGCAACTCTCGTGCCTCAGCCTCCCAAGTAGTTGGGATTACAGGCATGCGCCACCACACTCAGCTAATTGTTTATATTTTTAATAGAAATGGGGTTTCACCAAATTAGCCAGGCTGATCTCGAACTCCGGACCTCAGGTGATCTGCCTGCCTCAACCTCCCAAAGTGCTGGGATTACAGGCATGAGCCACAGCACACAGCCGAGAATTTGTTTTGTTTTGTTTTGTTTTTTAAAGAGACAGAGTCGGCCGGGCGTGGTGGCTCAAGCCTGTAATCCCAGCACTTCGGGAGGCTGAGACAGGCGGATCACGAGGTCAGGAGATCGAGACCATCCTGGCTAACACGGTGAAACCCCGTCTCCACTAAAAATACAAAAAACTAGCCAGGCGAGGTGGCAGGCGCCTGTAGTCCCAGCTACTCGGGAGGCTGAGGCAGGAGAATGGCATAAACCCGGGAGGCGGAGCTTGCAGTGAGCTGAGATCCGACCACTGCTCTCCAGCCCGGGCGACAGAGCGAGACTCCGTCTCAAAAAAAAAAAAAAAAAAAAGAGACAGAGTCTTGCTTTGATGCCCAGGCTTCAATGCAGTAGCATGATCATGGCTCACTGCAATCTTGAACTCTTGGGCTCAGCAGCTATGACCATAGGAGTATGCCATCACACCTGGCTTATTTTATTTTATTTTTTTCAGATGGAGTCTTGCTCTGTCGCCCAGGCTGGAGTGTAGTGGCGCGATCTCGGCTCATTGCAAACCCCGCCTCCTGGGTTCGCGCCATTCTCCTGCCTCAGCCTTCCTAGTAGCTGGGACTACAGGTGCCCGCCCCCAATGTCCGGCTAATTTTTTGTATTTTTAGTAGAGACGGGGTTTCACTGTGTCAGCCAGGATGGTCTCGATCTCCCAACCTCGTGATCTGCCCGCGTTGGCCTCTCAAAGTGCTGGGATTACAGGCGTGAGCCACCACGCCCAGCCATTTTTTTTTTAAATGTTTTGCAGAGATTGGGTCTCACTATGTTGCCCAGGCTGGTTTCAAACTCCTGAGTTCAAGTGATCCTCCAGCCTCAGACTCTCAAAATGCTGGGATTAAGGCATGAGCCACTGTGTCAAGCCAAAAAAATTTTTTTTCTTCCTTTTTTTTTTTTTTTTTTTTTGAGACAGTGTCTCACTCTGTCACCCAGGCTGGAGTGTAGTGGCATGATCTCGGCTCACTGCAACCTCCGCCTCCTGGGTTTAAGCGATTCTCCTGCCTCAGCCTCCCGAATAGCTTGGATTGCATGTGCCTGCCACCATACCCGCCTAATTTTTATATTTTTAATAGAGACAGGGTTTCACCATGTTGGCCAGGCTGGTGTTGAACTCATGACCTCAAGTCATCCGCCTGCCTCAGCTTTGCAAGGTGCTAGGATTATAGGCGTGAAACACCGCGCCAAGCCAAAGAATTTCTTAAACAACTTACAAAAGGCACAAAACATAAAGAAAAATATTTGAAACATCTTACTATATCAAAATGAGTAATACACCATGAACATAAAAGAACATTCAAAGTACCATCTCTAGAATGGCTTATCAATTACAGAAGGGAAAAAGTGGAGGATCCCGGCGAGAGCACTTTAACCACATGACAGAAGTCTGATCACCACCAGCCTCACGTGCTTCCTGACATGACACACCAAGAAGAACATGATGTCACTCAGACAATGCCCTGCCAAAGATAAGAGTCTGAATTTAATACTGGGAACATCAACTGAACATCAAGTGACAATCTACACAACCACCAGCTGGGTCTTTTAAAAAAATATCAATTTCATGGAAAAAAAAAAAAAAAAGGAAAGGGGAGTGCCATTCAAGGTTGAGGGAGACTAAAATAACATGACAAGTAAATGTAACACAGGATCCTGGATCAAAAGAAATACCCAAAAAACCATACAAACTATATCAGCTACATACAAACTATATCAGACAAGAGTTCTGTATCAATAATAAAGTACCTGGGGCCAGGTGCAGTGGCTCAGTCCTGTAATCCCAGCACCGTGGGAGGCCGAGGTAGGCAGATCACTTGAGGTCAGGAGTTCAAGACCAACCTGGTCAACGTGGCGGAACTCCATGTGTACTAAAAAGACAAATATGAGCTGGGCATAGTGGCACAATGCCTGTAATTCCAGCTACTTGGGAGGCTGAGGCAGGAAAATCACTTGAGCCTGGGAGGTGGAGGTTCCAGTGAGCCAAGATTGCACCACTGGACTCTACCCTGGATGACGGGGATAAGATTCTATCTTTGGCTGGGCGTGGTGGTTCACGCCTGTAATCCCAGCACTTTGGAAGGCTGAGGTGGGCGGATCACGAGGTCAGGAGATCGAGACCATCCCGGCTAACACAGCGAAATCCCATCTCTACTAAAAATACAAAAAATTAGCTGGGCATGATGGCGGGCGCCTGTAGTTCCAGCTACTCAGGAGGCTGAGGCAGGAGAATGGTATGAACCCGGGAGGCAGAGCTTGCAGTGAGCCGAGATCATGCCACTGCAGTCCAGGCTGGGCAACAGAGTGAGACTCCAACTCAAAAAAAAAAAACAAAAAAAAACAGATTCTATCTTAAAAAAAAAAAGTATACTTTGGTGTGATAATAACACTAGTTTTGTTCAAGAATGTTCTTTTTGGTTGGGTATGGCAGCTCACACCCGTAATCCCAGCACTTTGGGTGGCCAAGGCAGGAGGACTGCTTAAGGCCAGGAGTTCAAGATCAGTCTGGGCAACATAGTGAAACCTCATCTCTATAAAAAATACAAAATTAAAAAACAAGAACGTTACTTTTCTTACAAGATCCTGGCTGAAGTATTTCAGAGTGAGGTATGATATTTACAACATACTTTCAGTAACTCAGTCAAAAAAACTAAGTGTATGTAAATATATGTCTGTACCACACCTGCCTCTGCAACACCTGCTGTCTGTATGAGTGTGTGTGTGTAAAATATAAAAAGAGAACCCGGCCGGGCGCGGTGGCTCAAGCCTGTAATCCCAGCACTTTGGGAGGCTGAGAAGGGCGGATCATGAGGTCAGGAGATTGAGACCATCCTGGCTAACATGGTGAAACTCCATCTCTACTAAAAAATACAAAAAAAACTAGCCTGGCAAGGGGGCAGGCGCCTGTAGTCCCTGCTACTCGGGAGGCTGAGGCAGGAGAATGGCGTAAACCCGGGAGGCGGAGCTTGCAGTGAGCCGAGATCCGGCCACTGCACTCTAGCCTGGGCGACAGAGAGAGACTCCATCTCAAAAAAAAAAAAGAGAACCCTATGTCAGAGGTGTTTGAACCAAAGCTAACCTCCATCTTAAATGGGGACTGGGTAAAATAAGGCTGAGACCTACTGGGCTGCATTTCCAGACAGTTAACGCATTCTAGGACACAGGATGAGACAGGAGATTGGCAAAAGATACAGGTCATAAAGACCTTGTTGATAAAACAGCTTGCAGTAAAGAAGGCGGCTAAAACCCACCAAAACCAAGACGGCGACGAGAGGGACCTCTGATCCTGCTCCCACTAGCACCATGACAGTTTATAAATGTCATAGTAACATCAGGAAGTTACCCTACATGGCCTAAAAATGGTAGGCATGAATAATCCACCCCTTGTTTAGCATAGAATCAAGAAATAACCATAAATATGGGCAACCAGCAGTTCTTGGGGCTGCTCTATCTATGGAGTAGCCATTCTTTCATTCCTTTACTTTCTTAATAAACTTGCTTTCACTTTACTCTGTGGACTCGCCCTGAATTTTCTTTCCTGAGATATAAGAACCCTTTCTTGGAGTATAGCTCCAGTCCCCCTTTCTGGTAACATCTATGCATGTGTTTGAGGCAGGGAGAAGAGAAAGATAAAGCTGATGTGGCAAAAAGTGTTAATAATATGAGAATCTGGATGGTTTTACAAGTGTTAAACTATTCCTGCAACTTTTATGCAACTGTGGAACTTTTCAAAATGAAAAGCTGGGTGAAGAGAGAGGGAAACAAGCAGTAGAATGGAGGAAAGTCACTTGCTGTGGGAAAAGAAAAACAGACAAAAGCTGGGTATTCAAAACGTACTTTAACAAGCCCAAGTTCCAACAGCTAAATTTTTTTACTTGGCAAAAAATAAGGGACTTTTTCGGGCTGATGGTAATTTTAATAAAGGTTTAGGTTGCATTTGTTAAAACTCATCAATGGTACAGTGAAGATCTGTGCATTTCACTGAAAGTCAATTTTGGCTCAAAAAATTTAAAAAAGCACTATTGAACTCTAATTCATGGTGAGCACAGTGAGCTGTCTGAGGGAGAAGTGTTGTGATATATGCGACTTACTTTGAAATGTTTCCAAAAATAAGTGGATTAATGGATGGCTGAAAGGATGGACAGAAGGAAAGGTAAGGGATACAGTAAGTTCAGCAGATGTTAACGGGGTCTTTCACTGCACAAGTCTTTCAGCTTCTCTATCTAAACCAACATTTTCTGTCATAAAATATTGAGACTGGGAGAGTGTACAAAGGAAATAAGCCTCTAAACCAAGGAAAAAGACAGCGAAATGGTCAGTAAACAGGTGCAAAAATGCGGCCCTCACTGAGAACTGCGGTAAAACATGATTTTGCAATATCAAATGGAAAAACACACAGGTGATCTAACACCTGTGAGACTGAAAGGGGAAGCAGCTCAGCCCCCTGGCTCACGGCCACCAATTCAGCCGGAGGCCGACCCAAGCCTACACTGGCCCTCCCACCAGCCAGTAGAAAAGCGGTAGACTCGGGGGTTACCCCAGGGACGGACCAGGACCCCAGCAGGCGCGGCAAAACTGTCTCTATGGGAGGGCGGGATAGAGATGCGAGCACGGAACTCACGGGTGACTCTAAGGAAAGAGCGGGGGCGTCCAGACCAGCCCGGGAGCCACCTCGCCCTCAGAGGAGTGACCCCAATCGCCACAGAGCGTCCCCACCCGCCAGGACAACTACGCCCCTGGCCAGACCCTCGCCCTAGCGAGCCCGACATGCCCACTACCCACGTGAAACCCACCCGCGGACGCGCCCCTCGCCTCCCCACAAGGACCCGGCGGGCCTCCACCCGCCAAGCCGTCCCCCCGAGGGAAACGGAGGCAGCGCAGGGCTCAGGGATGTGTTGGCACTTACAGTTGGCGGCCGGCGGCAGCCATGTTCCGGGCGATTGCGCTTGCGCGGCTGCCGGGAGACGGATGTGCGCGTGCGCGGAGTCCCCGCGCTTACCCAGCCCAATGCTGGAGCTGCCGCGGGTAGCGGGTTATTAGCCCCGTGGACTTGCCTCAGGGCGGACGCGCAGGAGTTTACTTTCTCCTATGGCCTCCGCTGATTTTTAACCCGATGCTATCATTATTTTGTTATAGAGTCTTCCTTTTACTTACTGCATAATTTCCTAAAATATTTCTATAACCTTTTTTTTGAGATAATGTTAAAATTCAGAATAAGTACACTCATTATTCATTGGCAATATAATTATTTACTGGGTGCGTGGCTCACGCCTGCAATCCCAGCATTTTGGGAGGACTAATTTGTTAAAATGACTAGATCTAAGAAATGTAAACAAAGCCAGTAACTTTCCTCTGTAGTAACAGCCGGTTGAAAATGAAAACTACACATTGTTTTCATTCTTTCAGTGATTCTCTTAAACTTTAGCATGGGAAAATTGGAAGCCTAAATATTTACTGACAGGGAAGAGAGAAATTGTGGTATGAGAAAAGGAGCAATAGGGGGTGGTTAAAACAAACGGACTGGGCTCACCTAAGGTCAGGAGTTCCAGACCAGCCTGGCCAACATGGGGAAACCCCGTCTCCACCAAAAATACAAAAATTATCCAGGCGTGGTGGCAGGCGCCTGTAATCTCAGCTCCTTGGGAGGCTGAGGTAAGAGAATCGCTTGAATTCGGGAGGTGGAGGTTGCAGTGAGCGGAGATCGCACCATCACACTCCAGCCTGGGGGACAAGAGCGAGACTTCGTCTCAAAAAAAAAAAAAAAAAGACTAACTTATATACAAGATGGACAGTTCTCCAAAAACTGAGTGCAAAAAGTAAACTGTGCACTTATCCACATGATACAACTTACGTGGAAATAAAAGACACAAAATCTGTTATACAGAGATTCATACATAAGTAGTAAAGTAACAATAACATGGACTAGATAGATTGTCCAACCTCAAGAAAGTGGCACCTGAGGGGAGAGAGGGGAAAGAGTTGGGGAAGAGACAAAGGAGACCTCAGTTACACCTGTGATGCTTGATACGAAAAAACAAATCAAAATCTGAAAATCTGACTATATGTTAACACAGGTAAAATCTAGATGATACATGGGTGTCATCTTTATTATTTATATATTATTCTATTACTCTCCGAACCTCTCCGCAGGTTGAAATACTTCACAATTTTGAAATGAAAATTGGAAAAAAAACTCTAATCCAGAATAGTGATTAAATTGTCACTCACAATAGTAATGCTGGGAGCAACTTGGAAATCAATTAGCAAAAGCAATAAAGGATTTTCATGAAGAAAATACAAAAACCTCATTAACAGACCTAAAGTTAAGTTCAGAACACAATGACATATTATTCCTGAATGGAAAGTATTTTTTTTTAATTTCTCCATGAAGGCCTACATATTTTTAAAAAAATTTTTTTTTTTTGAGACGGAGTCTCGCTCTCACCCAGGCTGGAGCGCAGTGGCACAATCTCGGCTCACTGCAAGCTCTGCCTTCTGGGTTCACGCCATTCTCCTGCCTCAGCCTCCCGAGTAGCTGGGACCACAGGCACCCGCCACCATGTCCGGCTAATTTTTTGTATTTTTAGTAGAGATGGGGTTTCACTGTGTTAGCCAGGATGGTCTCGATCTCCTGACCTCGTGATCCGCCCACCTCGGCCTCCCAAAGTGCTGGGATTACAGGCGTGAGCCACCGCGCCCGGCCTATTTTTTTAAAATATTAAAATATCAGACTGGGCACAGTGGCTCACGCCTGTAATCCTAACACTTTGGGAGGCCAGGCTGGGGGAATCACCTGAGGTCAGGAGTTCAAGATGAGTCTGGCCAACATGGTAAAACCCCATCTCTAAAAACATAAAAATTGGCTGGGCACGGTGGCTCATGCCTGCATTCCTAGCACTCGGTCTCAAAAAAAAAAAAAAAAAAAAAAAAAAGATCTTCACAAAACTACTAAACAAAATTATAGCAATTCCAATTCAAAGACTCCTCCCCACCCCCGCCATCTCACAGAATAAAACAACTTAAAGATCATATGAAAAGTCCAACAGTATCTGGTTAAAAGAATAGTCAGAGGCTGGATACGGTGGCTCATGACTATAATCCCAGCACTTTGGGAGGCCGAGATGGGTAGATCACTTGAGGTCTGGAATTCAAGACCAGCCTGGCGAACATGGTGAAACCCATCTGTACTAAAAATACAAAAATTAGCCTGGTGTGGTGACGGGCACCTGTAATCCTAGCTACTCAAGAGGGTGAGGCAGGAGAATTGCCTGAACCTGGGAGGCGGAGGTTGCAGTGAGCTGAGATCGCACCACTGCACTCCAGCCTGGGTGACAACAGGAGACAGGGTGCTACTCTGTCTCCAAAAAAAAAAAAAATCAGACACCCTTTATTAGATACTAAAATGTATCATATTAAGCAGATGGGCTAAAACAGGCACTAAAACACACAAATATCAGAAGAGTAGAAGAGTATGAAAGAAGAGATGAGTAAAAGTAATCTAGTAATAAAGTTAACAATAAAGCATAACATCATTAATAATAACAAGGGTGTTTTTTCTGTTCAGTGGCAAAGAGAAATCTTTAGTGCTAAGTATTGTGCTGGCACAAGTGTATATTCTTTTTTGTAGTTTTTGAGACTGGGTCTCACTCTGTCCCCCAAGCTGGAGTGCAGTGACAAGATCTCAGCTCACTGCAACCTCCACCTTCCAGGTTCAAGTGATTCTCCTGCCTCAGCCTCCAGAGTAGCTGGGATTACAGGCACACACCACTACACCCGGCTAATTTTGGTATTTTTAGTAGAGACGGGGTTTCACCTTGTTGGCCAGGCTGGTCTCGAACTCCTGACCTCAGGTGATCCAACCACCTCAGCCTCCCAAAGTGTTGGGATGACAGGCATGAGACACTGCGCCCGGCCACAAGTGTATATGCTTCTAGGTCACAGGTAGGCTATCTTTTTCTGTAAAAAGCACAGTAATAAATATTTTCAGCTTTGCAGACCATAAGGTCTCTGCCATGACTACCCAACTCTGCCAGATAGCAGCCTAGATAATACTAAACAAACGAGTGTGACTGCATTCCAATAAAACTTTACAGAAACAGAAGGCCCACTGAGGCCATTGTTTGCCAATCCTTGTTCAGGAATTATCTGTTTATTCTTGGGGTAGGAGATTTTCTACATCAAGATGAGCATCCCAGAAGTCATTTACAAAATGACTTTTTTTTTTTTTCTTAGGGATGGAGTCTTTGTTGTCTAGGATGTAGTCCAGTGACATGATCATAGCTCACTGCAGCCTTGACCTCATGGTCTCAAGCAATCCTCCCATCTCAACCTCCCCAGTTGCTGGGACTACAGGTGTACACCACCATGCCTCTAATTTTTTTAGTAGAGATGGGGTCTCACTATTTTACTCAGGCTGCTCTCAAACTCCAGGGCTCAAGTAATCCTCAGCCTCCCAAAGTGTTGGGGTTACAGGCATGAGCCACCTTGTCTGGCCAACATATGTGATCTTTTTCCGGTTTTTTTTTTTTTTTTTTTGACAGTCTAGCTCTATCGCCCAGGCTGGAGTGCAGTGGCGTGATCTCGGCTCACTGCAGCCTCCAACCTCTGCATCCCCGGTTCAAGCGATTCTCCTGTCTCGGCCTTCCCAGTAGCAGGGATTATAGGCACGTGCCACCACGGGTGGCTAATTTTTGTATTTTTAGTAGAGACAGAGTTTCACTATGTTGGCCAGGCTGGTCTTGAACCCCTGAGCTCAAGCAATCCGCCCGCTTGGGCCACCCAAAGTGCTGGGATTACAGGCGTGAGCCACAGTTGTTGCTTCTTTAATGGGGCACTCAAGGCATTTTGTTGCTGGCTCAACATCCCTTTCAGGCCTTCACTGACCTATGCCACACGGCACTTGCGCCCAGGGATAAAGAGCCGGATCAGCTTCTGCTCACCCCAGTCCTCTTGCCAGAAAAGCCCTCTGGCCTTTGTCCAGTTGCTGGACGCTGCCTCTTCTTTCTGGTTGGTCTCCTCCTCCAGGAGGCATTCGCGAACGCCCCAGTGGAGCCACACGGTCCATGCCTCTTCCACTTACTTCCCCAGGGCTCACATTCCACAACTACTAAATCAACACCGACAGACTCATAAGCAGCCCCTTCCTCGTCCTTTTTTCCCTCCGGAGCTCGGGAACGTCTGCCGGGGATGAGGGGGGCTCGCAGACCACCCCCCGCCAAGCGGAGGTTGGGGGCTGTCACCTGGCCAGGTGTCCGGGGACCGGCTCGGGCGGCTGACACCGCAGTCCACGAGAAGTGAGGAGGATCCTTGGACTGTGGGCAGGATCGCTGGGAGGGGAGGCCCTGCCCGGAAGGCGGGATCTGGGGACGATCCCCATTCCTACCAGCCGCAGACGCGGAGCGCACAGGAGTCGCCGCAGCCCCAGCCCGTGCACCCACAGCGGAGCCGAGGCCGCGACTCCGGGCCTGTCGGCCGGAACCCGCAGCTGTGTCCCGGGCCGTCCAGGTTGCGGCTACCCCTTAGAGCCCCGGGCCCCACACTACTCTGCGGTGGCTTGGAGACTCCGGGTCATCACGCCCCTCCGCCAAGGCGGAAGCTGGACCCTCCGCTGCACATGCGCGCCCACTGCGGCGCAGTCGCTGCGCATGCGTATGCTTCCACCGCCTACATCTCCCAGAAAACCCCGCGATGTGGTGCTCCACCGCTTCCTCCCTCAGGTTGCGTTAGCCGCGACGATGGCGCCCTCTAGCGGCAGCAATTAGGCAGTGGGGGTCCTGGGCGTGGCTGTATGCCCGTGTTCTGGGAGGATACCTGGCGCCGACCTTGAAGGGACCTGAACGTGAGAGGGAAAAACGCCCGTGATGCCAAGGCTTGGGCAGCGGACAGCCAAAATCCTGAAACCCCGAGATGCTCCCTGTGATTCACTTTCCAGAGGCCCCTCAAGGCCCCGACGCTGGCCCGGAGGGCGGTCGCTGACTATCTTGAGACTGAAGCTCACTTTAGGATCCTGGGCGTTCCTGTCAGTTTTTTAATGAATACAGGGAAAACCAGTGGCTTACTGACAGTTAGTTTAGAAACTCCCTGAGGAGGGCCGGGCGCGGTAGCTCGCGCCTGTAATCCCAGCACTTTGGGAGGCCGAGGCGGGCGGATCGTCTGAGGTCAGGAGTTCAAGAGTAGCCTGGCCAACATGGTGAAACTACTAAAAATACAAAAAATAGTCTCTACCAAAAATACAAAAAATTAGCCGGGCGTGGTGGCGGGCACCTGTAGTCCCAGCTACTCAGGAAGGCTGAGGCAAGAGAATCGCTTGAACTCGGGAGGCGGAGGTTGCCGAGAGCCGAAATCGTGCCATTGCGCTCCAGCCTGGGCAACAAGAGTGAAACTCAGTCGCGAAAGAAAGGGAGAAAGGGAGGAAGGAAGGAAGGAAGGAAGGAAGGAAGAAAAGAGAAAGAGTTTCTGAGGAGCAAGCAATTCCCTCAGTCAAAGAGGTAAGAACTGCAAAATAAATATTGCATTTACCTTACCCCAACATTGTATTAAGAACATTTTCAAACAGGCAGAAAATTTGAAACAATTGTGTGGGCCCGGCCCAGTGGCTCACACCTGT